GTAAAAAACCCGTCAGATGACAAAAGCGTGCGTTTGAGCGGAGCGTGCTTTTGTGTGGCGTGCATTTAGGCGGAGACTACTGTACCAGCTCCAAAGTGGGGATCCAAACCAAAGCGATCCGCATGGGTGTACTTAAGTCAGCCGGAGTCTTAACTGTCATCATCAGAGAAGTGGGGAATAGCTGACAACAAGCTCACCTCTTGGCCAGTTTCATTTTCTCTGACATTTCGTCTCGGTGTTCAGTCACAGAGAACCAAGGGGTGCTCATTCGAAGCTGAAGAAGAAAAAGAATTATGTGATAATCTCAATTTCAGCATCATAATTTTACATCCAAATATTCTTTTTGCGAAGAAGAACACACAGAGAATAATATTTTATCGTTTTAACATTTCTCCACTCTTTTCATGCTCTAATTAAAACAAATGTATAATGGTTACATTCCCAATCCCATCACTGCTCTTGTACACTAAAAAATTTCTTAATGTTAAAATAAAGAATATTTCATCAACACCGCTCAAGTGTGCCTCATATCCAAACAACAAAGCCCCTTGTCCGTCTTCCTGTGATCCCTACAAGAATCTTGCACATTGTCCCCAATAATTTGGTCATCAACGTCATCATTATTATCATCATCATCATCATCAATTTCCAAACAATGCCCTGTTTCCTGGAGGAAGGGGGGGTGGTGTTCTTGAAGCATAATAATCGATATCCCGTTGGCATATTTTCAACATAACTTGCTAATATCCGGCACCAAATTGGGACTTCCCACAGGTAGAATCATTAGCCTTAGGTTTCCGTCACACATTTGTAAATGTTAAGCCAATCCTTGCTTTTGCAACCCAAAGCGACATGAAATAAAGCACTTTTCTCCATCAAAACAAAGCGAAGCAACATCACTGACTTCATACAAATATGACACAAATAAGCCCTATTCTGACAGCCCTTAGCTTCTTGTGGTGGACATCTGAGCTCCAGTTGGTAAGAATTGGGTTACGATAATCAAGGACAGTGAGCAATGGAATGTAGCCTGCATGTTATGTTTTTAAAATCATGTTCTGCCTGCATTTCAAAGAAAAACTGAGAATGAAATGGTTTGGCCATCTGTTATGAATGTCACCTAGTCAGCCAGCCTCAAGAGCCTATAAAACCAAGCACTCTGGCTATAAAGGAAGAGGTAGACTATGCAAAAGATAGATTGAGGGAGTCACAGAAACCCTGAGAATTTATAATATCCCAATAGATTAGAAAGAGCTGCAGAGCTGGCCTTCCATTTTTTAAAAACTGCATCTCCCCTTGAAGTAAAAGTAAACAAAAAGTAAATTTATTGGTCATGGTTAAAGATACTAATGAAAAGTTCATGACAAGTTCAACTTTTGACAAATAAATACTCAAAGTAAAAGTAATTAAAACTAATTACAACACCCTCATGTCATGATGTGTCTTTGTTTGAGCACAACACTTTAATCCTCAGCTCAAAAACAAGGCACTGTAGAGAGGCAACAAGCTAAAATAACAACCAAAACTACACCACCAACAACAACAATAATTAAATGATGACAACCACATCAACAACAACAAAAATGTAACAAAAAGAAACCCCCAGTGATGCCTCTCTAAAGCACAAGAACAGTAACAACAACAACAACAACAACAACAACAACAACAACAACAACAACAACAACAACAACAACAGAGACTTGACCATCACCTGGTTCCTCGGCAAGATGAGCGGAGTAAGGGAGGGAAGTCTGGGCTGCTCCGTCAGACTGCTCTGTAGGGGAAAATGTCACACACAGATTGAGGAATGCAGGACACCAGTACAGTTTGTTTGCTGGCTAGCTTATCTACCTACTCACCTTCTTAATTACGTATACCTAACAACATAGCTATCTGTCTTACCAACTATCTATAAATACAAGTATATGTAGTATCTGTTTCTCTATTTTTAAGGACAGCTGTAGATAGCAGTCATTCTGCTTGGACGTATCCTACATGACCCAAAATGTTCTTTACTGACACGGCTGAAAAGGCAGCCTGCCCCTTAAACGATCCTAAAATTGTATTCATAGGGCCATAAATACTTGTACCAGTACAAATTTCTAAGTGTGTTCCCCTGCCTCAAACCACGGTGTCAGTGGTGGAACAATTAGGCTCTTCACTGTCACATGGAGAAGATACCAGTATCATTGATTTCAATAGGAATGGCTTTTGTTCTTGCCAACACATCGTTGCTCGGGGGTGAGCGTTCCTAACTGTCAATGCTGATTTTCAGCTCGTTAGCTTAGACAGTACGCTACCCCAGAATCGCAAAGTTCTATCTGACAAATTTTTGGCCGTTTAGAGTTACAAAAACCCTGAGTTCAGAAACCAAATGTTCTATCTGCTCTATCAAAATCGTAAAATAATTCGGAGTCCTTATCAAAATATTCAGAGTTGCATTTGAAAAAGTTTGGCTTGTGAAACTCAAACTTTTTAACGTAAAATTTCCCAAAACTGCGTAGGTCTACTGAGCAGATAGAACTTTGTCATTCTTTAGTTTTAACTTTAGTACGGTTTTACGGCGCTCGCAACCGCATAAGGTCATATGAGTGCCAAGGGGTGGATGTCAACAGAGAAGTCCAAATAGGGAATCAGGCTTACTCTGCTCACCTCTCTAGCCTCAACTGCACAAAGTCTGCTTCCACGATCAAGGCACCCCGGAAATAGCAGTTCACAAGAGAATGACAAACATACAAAGAAGTAGAGGAAAATGATGATAGTAAGGATGAGGAAAGAAAAAGCAGCAGTTCCCCATGTATATGTTGCTTTGGCACAGTATGAGCGTGACATTGATAAAACAGCCCATTTACAATTCCACTGTGCATAAGAACATGTTAATATCCCCCCTTTGGGAATCGCCTAAAGACAACTTCAGTCAGTAGCACAGCCCCGGTGAGATAGTGAGTAGTCTCATCAGTCTCCGTGTCACTGGACTCACAGTCTGTGAGGCACCGAGGCGAACTTAGGCGCTCGTCAAAATAATGAAATCGAAAAAAATGGCATTTTTCTGTCCGTTTGGCAATTTTTATAGAATTTTCGTTTTTTTGTCTTGACCATCACTTTAAAATTAAGGTCCATTTAAAAACACATTTCTATGTGGATTTTACTATTTAAGGCACACAAACGTAAATTTGCAGTTGCTATAGACTCTCAAGCTTTAGAAGTCGACAAACTTTGGTGGCCATTTTCTCGCTAATTTTACTTTTACCTCTGAAACTAGGCAACCCCCACCTCCTAAAATTGCAAATATTTCGACATCTTTTCACGATAGATGAGTATTTTTTTCACTGAACACAAGACAAATGAACAAGCTCTAAAATGCTACCAATAACTCTATATATGCCCAAAAATTGACGAGCGCATGCTTCCATTGGGCCATGACACAGTCTGGTTAATCTGACCCACTCAGGACATTTTCAGACCCCGAGTCTATGACAATGTCACCTTCCTCATCTTTATCATCCCCATATCCAATCTTCCCCATAACTTCAACAACTTGCAAATTTAAGTCAAAAAGAGAAATTTGTTGCCATTTTTCAGTTACTTCGGTATTTACATTCTAGGATAGCCTGCTTTCATCTGCAAAACTACACCTGTATTTGTCAATTGTTCGTAAGCCTAGCAGTAAATTTATACTAACAAATTTCGTACCAATACGCACATTTTCTTATTCCCGAATATGAAACCATCCTGTGCTTGTGGTTAAATCTTTGTAGAGTAGATTTAGAACCAGATGTCTAGTGAAACATTCTTACAGCCAACAAGGAACAGTAAATTTTGCTAACTTCTCTAACGTCCATAGTACGGCAAAAGGCAAAAAATTGTGCATTTTGATGACGTACCGTAATATACATTGTTAGGAAACAAAAGGGTTAAGTATCTCAGTCTGTTTTTGACACTTTGTATCCCTCTCAGCCCGGGTTTGCCCTGAAGGCCTGCCTCTTAAAATCAATTATTGTATTGATATAGCATTTTGCTTCCCTAGAATTTCAAAGTTTTGTCTGCTCAGTACGTATTTTGAGAAATTTGATGTAAAAAATTGTGAGTTTCACAATATGTCCATCAAGCTTTTATGAATGAAATCCTTTGGATATCTTGATAATGACTCCAAATAATCTTGCGATTTTTATAAAGCAGATAAAACATTTGGTTTTTTACCTCATGGTCTTAGTAACTCAAAAACCGCCAAAAATGTCCGATAGTACTTTGAAATTCTAAGGTAGCGATCTACAGTGACAATTTGAGTCTAACCTTGGTGTCACTGGCCCGTCCCAGCAGGTTCACGTCCAGCCTGTACAACAGGACGGGGCTCTTGTGGCAGCTGAAGGAGAGGAGGAGCTGGAGCATGGAGGACAGGAGCTGTCTGTGGACGCAAGGGGAGGAAACGG